CACTCAGAGGTGTGCAGACGCAACACAACATGAGCTCTTGCCTTGATGTAGTTGATGAAGCGAGTGCTGAGAGAAGAGTCTCTGTTCTGGTCTCTCAGGGCTTCCGTAGGGCTCTCCTCAATCAGCTGCACCGAGTCAGAGTTTGGGTCTGCTGAAATGAAGGAAACATGAACTCTCAGTATTAAGCTGTAGTGTAGGGTGTAGAATTCTGCACCACAGGTTTGACAGAATATGAAAAATATGGGCACAAAAGCACAACTCCCATGAAAGTGAACCCACGAAGGATTCTAATTACCTGTATAACCAAAGTTATAAAGGGACTTATAAACGTCACAGCTCCATCCATTTTAGTCAGTCATGCATAACGCAGCACAGTTTTTGTCTGTGTTTACACTCATTCAAACAGATTCACTTTTTAAAAATGTCAAAGTTATTATCAATGTGCAAGAAATAAAACGCAGATACAAACACAGTCTGATCACAGCTCACCAGTCACAACTAGCTAGACACTAAGAATGGAGGAAATAAGCAGAACTGAAGAATCCTGAAAAAAAATTATGGCAAAAATTTGGCACCAAGCCTCAAAGCCCCAAACAGCCAATCAACAGCTGAAACATATTTATGAGTGTCAGCAGGCACATCTCCATCACATAAATTGGCACAGAACGTGTTCAGTCCTATGGGTGAAACTGTGTGCATGCACTACAGAAGTATAAATTGAGGAAAAAGAAAGCTACTTTAACCTTGTTTGGGGACAAAGCCGCCAAACCTTTGAACCACTACTTCATGTTATGGCTGTCTCTCCTTGCACTTAGACAAGGATTTCAAAAGAACTGTCCAAATATCTGCCCGGAGCCGTTGCCAAGACAGATGTCGAGTGGCAGAATGTGCAGGAGAAGTGATTGGAGGAAAGCAGGTCAGGTGCGTGAGTCAGCCCTTAAGTCAGCTCTTAAAACCTTTGAGATTTTTTTTTTGTGTGTTTTGTTTAAATTTCATTCATTTTCTAAACTTTTACAAGAAAATTGGTGATAAATAATAAAAACCACAGCAGGAGCTTGCTGCCATTTTAAAAACAACACATTTGTCAAATTTATAATATGTAAAACATCTTTGTGACGCCAGGATTCAGGATTTGTTTGGAAATATAACCTAGACGGCCCTCTTTTCACTCATCTCGTTCAGTAAATGTGACCCTCCATCAGCTCTAACCTAATTAAGGCTGATTGAAGTCTATTTAAACTGTGTCTGGGGAGCTGCTGCTGTTCTTTAATAGAGTTCAACAGCCCAGATACTTTTAGACACACAGCTGACAGGTTAGAAAAGCAAAACTACTAAACCCTCAGTTTGTACACTGCTGAACCACATCGCATGGCAGGGCTCGTACGGGATCTTCTGACTTGTAGATGGTGCTGAGCACTGCTTCATGCTGCATGAACAAATCCAGCAACAGTAAAATAAATAATAATAATTGTGCAAGTCTGTTGATTACTTCACTCTTTCCTCTTTTCCATAATCATTGACTGAATCACTCAATGTGCATTCTCAAATTGGTTATGCTTTTTTCTCAACAGAGTCAAGTCCAGATGATGTTTATGCTCCCAAAGCATGAGTAATAAGAGCGCACGTGCACACACTATTCATTCACATGAATCCGGGCTGTCCAGAGAGTTTAACCAGGTGACAATAGATAGCATAATACAGTTTGTCTACCATCGCCACATGCTGGCCACTCTGTGTGTGTGTGTGTGTGTGTGTGTGTGTGTGTACCTGTCAGAGAGCTGATGTGTTCACTCGAGTCGTCTTTGCCGATTCCCTCCTCTGTGATGTGACTCATTGGCACATTAAGGCTCAGACTGTCTTCATCTGACGGCTGAAACAAACAATGAAACGGCTTCAGCGCTGAAACAAAACTGTGAGAACCTCAACACAAGAACACAACAACTGATGAGTGTTAAAAATGTAAAAGTTCTCAGTTGTAGTTTATTACTTTTCTCGTAGTTTTGGGTCAGGAAAAGCATATCAGTTGCAAATTAGAGTTTATAATTTCAGTTTCACAGACCTGGAGCTGGCTGCTGCCTTGAACAGCTTTCTATCTCAACAATGACCAAAAATGTGAATTAGTAACAAAGAAAAAATGTGTTCATTCTAAAATGAAAAGGAGAGCTCTGACTCCCACTGATGCGACGTGACGTCAGTTTACAGAATCCTACAAAATTCCTCTGCACTGCACGGATAAACACTACGAGAGACAGAAAAACTTTTAGCTTATCAGTTCAAATGAAGAAAATAACTTCAACTAAATGTTAAGTTGCCCCTAATTACAAGATGAGGCCAAAGTGCCTCCGCTCTAACAGTATTTCATTTCAAGACCAAATCCAGAAGAATCTCAAATTCAAAGTCAAATATTAAAATTTTCAGTTATTTGTCATTTTTTTCAACTTTGTATTAATTCATCTTAAATAATGCTCTTTAACAATTTACTGTTAAATGTAACAATTCATTTTTTGCCTTTTTTCACAATCATTTGCTCACAAGTCCACAAAAGAAATAACAATTTGCAGAAAAAGTGAGTGACGTCTAAACGGGTCGGTCTTTTAATGTCATCGCACTCACTCAGATACACCGACTTACAGAGGGAAAAAAAGATGAGCTGGTGTGATTAGAAAAATGAGGATTAAAGGAGCAAAGATGAGTGTATTAAGTACATGTCTAACGCATATTTGTGCATGGATACACACACACACACACACACACACACACACACACACACACATAACTATACACCTATATTTGAACATGTTACAGTCATATTGGTACAAATGTACAAAATCCCCCCCACACACACAGACACACAGATGCAGAGACACACACACACACACCTCAGTAGCAGACAGTCTCTTGTCTCCGTTGTCGCTGCCGACTCCTGAGTCACTGTCCTGCTTCTTCTGCTGCTCCATGTCTTCCACACTGCAGACACAAAACACAGGTCACACACACAGGAGGCAGGTGTGTGTGTGTGTGTGTATGCACAGGCGAGACAAAGAGCAAGAGAGCCACAATGACACAGAGAGGGAGATAGAGAGAGAATGCTCCCCCTCCCCTCTCTGTTTCTCATGCTGCGTTCACACTGCTGTGTAAATTCTGATTGGCTGTTTCGATTTAACCTTTAACTGCTGTCATGAAAGTTTCAGGGCATCTACAGGTGTAAGCCGGTTAAACAAAACCTTTTTTAACGTCACTGCAATCGACATTTAAAAATGAAACCTACAACCGAAATACACAGACCACAGCAAACAAAGTAAAGCCTTCTGTCATGCGCCGCAGCGCGCGTGCACAAAAGGATCCAAACGCAGACTCAAGCGCTAGCAGAAAATGACACTTTATTATAACAACAAAAGGCGACCCGGCAAAACCAAAGGAGCAAAACGAGGAACTAAAAAACCCGGGGAAACAATGGAAGCCGGAATCGGGACCGTGGGAGCTCGGGAGGGAAGTCCGTGAGAAGGAAATCCGTGGAGGTAGTGGATGGGCCAGATGATGTACCGGGTGATCCAATTGAGCAGGAGGACAGGCAGGTGGCAGATGCTGAACGCCGGATCAAAACCTAGACACAAGTAGGCAGATTTAATGCAGCTCCAACAAGATATGAATGCAACGCTTTCGCGGGAGTCTAGTTACCACAGAGAGGTGATTAACGGACTGGCGTGGAGCATCCGTCAGCGCCGGGTTAAGTAGCTCTTCAGGTAATCACCCCGATGGAGAGCAGGTGTGCCAATGATGGCCCAGCCTGGGGGTGTGGCTACCCGCGCATCACACATTCCACACACAGGACCACGGACCATGACACCTTCATCATCCTCACTTCCATCACTGTACTGCATGTCTGCATGTACCCTCTCCCAGGCCTGAAGTATTCTTCAGGAATTTATTTAGTATTTTTCATAGCTTATGCATCTCCTCAGCATTCTTTAACTTTACACATGTAAAGACAGCCAAATGTGTAATGAGGAGAAATTCTTGAGGTGACAGGACTAAAGAGAGACCCATCTGAACCACCAGTAGTACGGCTCAGCCTGCTATGTAGACACCCCTATGGCATCAGTTTGAAAATCCTACATTACCTTCTTCTCGAGTTATTGCATTCACAAGATTTTCAGAAAACTTGAACTTTGACCTTTCACTTTAGGTTCATGTCACAGAGATTCAGAGTAGTCTGAGATGATTTGTACACGTGCCTATGTTATTGATTTGAAGCTCATTCTGGAGGTCTCGGGTTCACAAGATTTCAATAAAACTTGAACTTTGGAATTCAAACGTGTTCAAGATGATTTTTGTAGACACACCTATGGTATCAATCTGAAGCTCCTACACAGCCTCATTCTCAAGTTATCTCATTCACAAATTTAGGTTAGGTTTTCACTCTGCCCGCCCGGCCTGCCCGGTGGAGTGACAAGAATACTCCATCAGCTTTTTACAGCTGAGGGGTAAAAACTTATGTACAAAGTTTCTGAACCTTAGGACGCAAAATGTAATTTAGGACCTTAAACAATCCAATGTCACATGTTTTTTCACTGCCAAGCTTTCTATTAAGCCCCGTGGATGGCATGAAGTTCCTATACTTAATCCTTCATTGATTTAAAGTCATAGCTTCCTTAATGTTTTACATTAATACTTAGACAGTTAAGTGATTTTTTTCTGGCCTATGAATAGAATGACTTGATGCGATCAGAAAAAGGAAGCCTAAAATAATATTAAACAATAAAGAAGCTCATTGAGTGGTTAATATGATAGTTAGAATAATAATGATAATAAGGTGTAAGCCTTCAAATAGAGTTTAAATCAACTTTTTCTGTAAGACTTTTCTTAAACAAACTGACCTGTCATACTCTGTATAATATTTAAATCTAAAGCATTATCAAATAAATTCTATTATGTTTATTATTTATTCATAATAGAACAAATATTCTATTTGTTCTCTTATGATAAAACATCTCTATTTGATCAAGGGAAGATCTGAAAAAAGGTTTTAAAAATCAGTGTTTTAGAAAACACACAGGAGTCAAATACAAGGGCATCTGGGGAACTTTAATTGGCCGTGTGAACACTGGCCTGTGGCAGTCTCCAAGCAACTGAACAATAATGAGGCGCTGGAATTGCTCACACACACATGCACGCACATGCACGCACATGCACGCACATGCACGCACATGCACGCACATGCACGCACATGCACGCACACACTGCATTTTCTAATAACCCTTCTGTGAGCAACAGTGCCGCTCCTCTCATCTCATCTCCTTGATCATGATTCTACAAGTGCAGTTGCTTCATAATAGCCCACACAGGTCACTTAAAGTCTGAGACAAATGAGGGTTCATCCATCTCTCTGTGACCTCTGACCCCCTGACATCCTCATCATGTCACTAAAAGACTAAAACTTGTGTAATAGCCAAAAAAATATGCCGCCATAAGCAAATGCTGTGAGCAGATCTGGAACTTGGACTGTGTTGTTTTACTTTGGCAGGGCACTCTTTCTTCATTTGGTAAACCATAAACTGAGCCATGCTGGGTTTCATTTTTATCTAGCTCTGTTTAAGGTCATCGTATTAATGGGGTTTTAAAAATAGCATCACTCTGTTCTCAGCTTCCTCTGGAGTGAGACGGCAAATGACTGCACCTCACAGAAGCATACTAATTTATTATCCACAGCCTTTTTTTTTTTTTTGAGTAAAAGTAGCATTGCATGTTTATGAAAAACAAAGCTGAGAAACAACAAATTCAGAGTGATGGCTTGTAATAATGTTTCAGTGAAAGACGAAAAAAGAATCGGAAGCATTTGAGGATGACAGAAGACGACTAAGAAGAAATCATAGAGCAGGAATAGAAGATTTCTGTTAAAATAAATATGAAGTTGAACTTCAGGATATCCGTCTTTCAGAATCATAGCTTGTCAAAGTCAGGGATTGGTCTAATTTCAGTAACCCTGCATGGAAAACACAGCCAATCAAAAACCACTATAAGTACCAGTTCATTTCCCATAAAATCAGTGACGTCACCAACTCTGTCTTGAATCTAAATGCGATCGATTATCGATGGAATGCCAATCAGCAGACGGTGCTGTTTGCTGGTATTAATTGAAAATATATGGAGCCAAAAACTGACATTTTAATGTATAAACCAATAAGTAACTTACTGGGTTTTGGGGGGGGGGGACTATAAGGCGCCGCACTATAAGGCGCACTTAAAAACCTTTAATTTTCTCAAAAACTGACAGTGCGCCTTATGTATGAATTCTGGTTGTGCTTACTGACCTCAAACCGATTTTATGTAGTACACAGCGCTCAAAAATCTGCCAAAAAATGTTTTAGTATTACTTTGGTAAACTATGAAGCTGCACCACTTGATGGATTGTCGAAGCATTACCAGCTATCAGGAGCCTCGCAGAGTAATCTGGGTCCTAAACTCAGTCTACTTCAGGTCCCAAAGTTAAACGAACACTGCAGCATCAATGAGAGTTAAAAACTAAATTCTAAATTCTTTCATCTTTAATAAAATGATCAGTGTTGCTGTTTTACCAGGTATAACAATTAAGTTAAAACATCCAATCATCCATGAACATCCAAATAGAATTTATTAAACTTAACGGAGTTAAAAGTTAGCAGGAAGTTCGCTCGCTAGTTTCCACCTAAACATGATATAGCATGTTCTGACTGAGAGATTTCTGAAAAAATTCAAACATACTGCTCTGCTATCACTTCCAACATAAATGAAGACAGAAAACTAAACAGCAGTGACATTTGTAGGGTTATTGAAGTTGGGCTAGCTGGTATATAATGATGTGCTACATGATCACTAGCGACACAGCTATGTTAGTATAATATAAACACGGTGAAGCTGGAGGATGAACACTAACATTTTTCCACTCTATAAAAGTTAACGTGAGGGTTCCTGATGGTTAGGGACAAATGCAATCACATGGCAGGATGCTACAAACGGACCAAACTTCAGTCAGGAGAACAACTGAGAAAATCCATCCACAATACCAGATTAGTCATTAATATACTGCAACATCATGGGAAAAGAGCAGCTGGAGAGAATTCCACATTAATGAATCAATGCAAGAAGAATAAGTGGAGTAAAGTTCGACTTATCTGACTGTTTTGTTTTGCTTATTACCCCTTATAATCTGGTGCGCCTTTTATACGGTCCGAAATATATGGTAGTTATTTCTGGAGTGGCCACTTTAGGTGGTTCCAAAACCAAATTGTGGTGTGAATAAGGCACGGAGGGACCAAAGATCATAATCTAGAGCCATTGTATTGATCTAACATCACACCACACACAAACCCTGAGTCCCCGTGTTTTTAACTAGGTGGGCGTGATTAAGGATGCTGTGCAGGTGCGTCCGCCCTCCCTGCACGGCACCGCAGACCACGCCCCACCACACAAATTAATTCCCATAGACAGACAAGTCAGAATCCTCAACTTCATGGCATTAAAGAGTTTTTCCCAACGTCTTTACAGCAGAAATAAAATGGGGGGGAAATCTGCCAAACAGCAAAGCATGACAGCTGCAACAAATGATGAGCTTAAAACCAATCTGAAAATTACTAACCGTCAGAGAAAGAGAAAGTAGACCTGTTGCAGTGCTGTAGTTTGTCAGTCTGATTTCTGTTCTGGCGTTTTATATGTATGGACTCTATATCCACACAATATCAGCGCTCCCTCTAGGTCAGCCCTTCATACCCTGGATGTTGCTGATGCTTTTATCTTGTGTGTCATGTGGAGTTTATTTAATCAAAGAAATCAAGAAGACAAGTGACAAAAGCATAAACAAGAATGAAAGTTAAAGGAAAACCTGATTTACATGTAAGTGTAGAGTCTGTGTGAACTACAGGAGAACAGAAACTGTTGCCCACATGCTGGGAGAGTTTCATGTGGGCGGACATCAACTCAGCTGAAGCTGAGTGTTGAAGGACCTGAAGAGGCAGGATTTTTATTTCCTATGTATTTCTGTTTTTACTGTACTTCCCTCCAACCCCCACCAGTTGCCCACCAGCTTTTTAAATATTTTATTCTTTATTCCTTCGCTTTTTGACATTACATCGCTTGGGTTAGACAAACTAGAAGTCCTTAATCCTAAAGCTTTTGGTAATCCCCCGACTTTGGATTGGAGGATGAATGAAATGACATAAATTCATTCTATGCTGTACTCTGTAGATGTGAGTACTGTTCCAGTTTCATAATACAGTTTTACCTCAAACACACAGCTAGATTCTGGGGCAATCAGCTGTCTGACATGATTTCTCTGCCTCCTCAGATGTTGTTCCCTACTCTGCCAACAAGAGTTCAAACTGTGCCACCAACATCCTAAAATATGTATGAAAGCGGTCATGACAAAACTTCAAGTCTTGGATCAAACCATGAAATTCTCCTTGCTGCTGCTGCTGCCCCGTGAGAACCGGATGAACCCAGAATCTCTGTTTCTTCCTTTTCTTGTTTAGAAACATCAGGACCAGCTCATCATCGCTTGATGTTAACTTCATTTTTTCCACATTGCATTTTTTCAAAAGATGAATTTTCTCACAAAAGAAACAACGCTTTCACTGTGTATATAAGTTCGAAACTGTGTGTAAAGGCCTTAACGCTAATTTGCGTAACCAGGCAAAACTGTCCTCTGCCAGAGGCCTGGCAGCTTGAGGGTCCAGTATCTTTGGTGTTCCTAGGACTGCACTCTTCTGGACAGAGATCTCAGATGTTGTTCCCGGGACCTGCTGGAGCCACTCGCCTAGCTTGGGAGTCACCGCACCTAGTGCTATGATTACCACTGGGACCACCGTTACCTTCATCTTCCACATCTTCTACAGCTATTACTACAGCTGTCTTCCTCTGCTTGTCCACCACTACTATGTCCGGTTGGTTAGCCATCACCATTTTGCCCTTCTGTATCTGCAAGTCCCACAGGATCTTAGCTTGGTCATTTTTCGACCACCCTAGGGAGCGTCTCCCATTTTGACCTCGAGATCTCCAGGCCATACTTGGCACAGATGTTTCTGTATACTATGCTGGCCACTTGGTTATGGCGTTCTATGTATGTTCTGCCTGATAGCATGCTGCAACCTGCTGTTATGTGCTGGATTGTCTCAGGGGCATCTTTACACAGCCTGCATCTGAGGTCTTACCTGGTGTAATATGGATCTTGTGCTCAGAGCTTGTTCCTGTGCTGCCATGAGTATTAGTGGCACTGTGCAAAAGATGTGGCTGTTTATAGGTGGCCAGCACTGCAGGGGTTGTTTGTTTGTTAGTTTGTATTCCTACCATTGTTTCATCTGTCAATTTTTCTTTTTACATTGCTTGATTTTTGTATTGTTATACACTCTGTTTAGCTCACTTCTTTTTCTTTTCTTTGTATCACTTCCAGTCCATCAACCCATTTCTCTGACTGCTTCAACAAGTCTTTCTTTTGTCCCTCAGATATGTGCAGTCTTTTTTTTGTATGTCCTTACTAGGTGTCATCATTCAAGGATTGTAGTCTTTCATTCCTTTGTCTACTTAAATGTTTTCTTCCTGTATTCACTCCCCATTCCTTTATTCATCAGTCACAGAGAACATCTCACACACCGGTGATGAGATTTTGGACAAACTTTTCAGTATGATGGCAGTCTGTCACTGCTACCCAGCCGGGAGCCGGAGAAAGGATCAGTTTCAGCTGACTAATGGAGGATTTGGCTACAGGCTGAGAAACTGAGCAAGCTCAGATCACAGACCGTTTCTGTCTACGTGTAATGTTGTTAAAACCATACAAAATAATGGCCCTGGGGTGATGTAATGTGCTTCTGGCAACTATCTTGGCAGTCCAAAGCTTAAAACAACTTACAGCATTCATAAATAACCTGAAAGTCACAAAAATTTGAAACAAATGTCTCAAATGTTTTCTCTGTTTGCTAGTTTTCTCATATGTCCTAAACTTTTCTAGAAACAAATGATGGAGTGGGATGTGGATGTATCCTGCACACTAATACTCGATAAAACTGAGTATTTCCAGGACTGGGAATACAGTTCAGATGTGAACCAAAAAACAAAAAAAGCTTCAAAAGTTCATGATTTTACGACTGAGTCAAATTATAGCTTTTTTTTGCTGCTGTTACACCCAAATTTCCCCTGAGGGACAATTAAAAGATTATTCTATTCCATTATGCCATGTCAGTAGTTATATATAGTATACTTTCTCTTTGTCAGGTTAACAAAACTGAAAGAAACCTTTGTTCAGGTTAAAGGTACAGTCAGTCATTTCTTTGAGGCCACTTAATAAAACAAATGTTGTAATCATAAATATAAATTAATTAGTGTGTAATTATTTCTTAGGACAAAATGATGCATTCTCATAAACTTAGTACATCAAAGGAGAAGAGAACTCGTAGACAAATTTTATTTTGTGTCAGCACCTTCAGACTCAAGATATAAAAGATCATACCTGTGTTTTACCAACGGAGCAAAACCACGAAGGAAAGAGACATAGATCCAGATCAAAGTCCATCCTCTCCTTCCTAACCTTAAAGCTAAGAACAAGCTCGCTACACAATAATCGCTTTAAGCTAACGTCACACCTACTAATGCCAGAGTCAAGTGTCCTAGAAATAACACTTTCCCTCTGATAAACAGTTTTTATATTCTCACATCGTACAAGAGTTTATTCGCTAAGCCTTGGAGTCCAACAATGTTAGCCTCACTTCAATGAAATTTTCACCAACACCATGCAACACATACTGACAGAAAAGTTCAGGATATGCTCAAAAACTCACACCAATATCACTGTGATCACAGAGAAGTGAGCTCATCAGACCCCTTTCACAAAGTTTTACAGTCTCCTGCATAGTAAATAGAAGCGCAGCATTGACAGCTGAGGTAAACTGCAGACTGAGCCTAACCAGATTTTTTTTTGAGGTGACTCAAGGGAAAAAAAAAAGCGAAACCCTGCAAATATTTAGTGGACACATATCACTTTTTATTTATTTTTAAATGTTTTTTTTTATTTATTGTTACATGTTGCTATTATTCAAATATTAGAAAATATAAAAATGTCTTTTTTACACAATTAGTAGCAGACACATGCTGGCCAACCGTGGCCACTATGGCTCTTTTGCTGACTAAAGCACGTTTGTCCTGCAGCAGCCACTGTAGCTCGGCTTATACACTTTGGGAGGGGGAAGAAAACAATTAAGTCGCTGAATTCTTGCAGGTTACATCCCATGCTAATTTTGAAACCCATCATTTAGCTTTGAAACTAAAACCATCACCAGCTGCAGTATCTTCATGCTACTTAGACAAGAAGCCAAACAGATGCAGTTCTATCACTGTGTCTGGTTTTAGGTACTGGAACAATGAGACAACACTGCCATCACAAGTCAACATAGACTCAACATCTTGCTCTGTTATTTTCACCCAGAACACCATTAATGAAAAAACAACAAAAATTGCATTGCTACATAACCGCTAGCAATCCTATTCACTTTAATGATAAAGAATTGACATGTCGACACCAGAACGTTGTCAAAGACGTACAGTCTAACTGCACTACAGCAGCAGACGCTGATAATGAAAAGAAGATAATCCCACCCCAGCTGTGTGATACCACGGTAACTGACCTGCCGGTGGTGGGCCTTGATAAGTTGATTCGCCCCATGACAGGCAGGTAGAGAGAGTCAGGCATCTTCTCGCTGCGACACGCCTCAATGCTCAGATACTTGAATATGTGAACTTTGCCCTTTATACAGATCTGAATAATGGGAGGAAAAAGGACTCAAATCAGCATCAAGTAAAAGTCCAGCTTTGCTTTGTTTTCTACATCATTTCAGCCTTTATTCACAAAGACTGTTGAGTCACTTGTGTCTTTTTTTTAGCTCTTGCAGCTGCTCGTGCTTAACATTTCCAAAAGCAGGTACATAGCTTCATACTACCTATTGCAATACTGCTGCTATGATCATGATGATTGCCGTAATGGCCAGATAATAGCCCTGTGCAGGAACATTAAGCTGAAATGATACATTTAAAAATATAAATAATTTATTATGAATGTCTGTTTCTTATATTAGGATGGTATCTAAAGAAAATAAAGTAGGTTTAGTTTTCAGAGATGTGCACCAAGAATTTATGTCGAATCATGACTCAGACACAAAGTGGAAGATATAAAGTACATTAAGACAAAAGTGTGTGTGTGTGTGTCTATGTACCTGTGCGGGTGGACTCTGCAGTGGATTGTTTTCTAACTGGAGAGTCTGGAGCTGTTTCATCTTCCTGTAACACACTGGGATGGTGGACACTTTGTTACAGGAGAAATCGAACTTCACCAGAGGAAGATCAGCCAAGTCTGTAGGAAGACACAAACGCACAAACATCAGGCAAACAGCTCTGGTTATCTGCTCCTTTAGAGCGAGCAGATTTGTTTTGAATTGTTGTTATGTGATATACAACTCAACACATAAGGGGATTATATCTCAGTAGAAAACTTCAGGGTTATTGTTTTGTTTTTTTACCCAAACCATGTGTGTTTTCCTTTTACTTTCTGCCCAACAATAACTCGAATGGAGACGCCCAGGAGGTTTAAAGTCTGACCCTTTTGGTTGATTTTTACAGTGGACAACACTCAAAATTTGAGACAAACTGCACCTTTGAAATGCCAGCAAACTAATGGATTTAATCTTCCCGAGACCCCTGCTGTGAAAATGCTAATCACAATGTGCTGGATGAACTTTCACTCCCCGGAAAGTTCCAGAACATTAGTTTTTTTTTTTTTTTTTTTTTTGGGGGGGGGGGGGGAATTAATGTTCCTGGAACAGCGAGTGGAAAATCACTTTTGGAGAACTTAGGCGCGTCTCAGTGTCTTCTGTTTTCATGTAATCCAGACTGACTCCATGGTGGTGAGATCTGTGGAGGTCGGATGATCTGCCAGAACACTTTGTTCTTTTCTTGCGTCTGAAGATAGCTCTTCGTGAATTTTCTTGCTGCAGAATTATTTTTGGACTGCTTAGACCTCTCTCTGATGGCACCGATGAGAAAAATTGCATCAACCTGCAACCTTAACCAGGCTGAAATGAGTGAATTCTTGTTATTTTGAACCAGAAATTCTTAAAATAGATGCTAAAGAACAACATATTTGGGCAGGAATATTGAAAAAGTGGCATTTATTAAATATGAAATGGTCAGAGCAAAAGGCCCGCTCTCCTGCATCAGCTGCATAGAACATACCACCTGCCCAGGTAAGTCAGGTGTGGGACATGGGAAAACATGCATTATCTAGTTTCTGCTGACATGCACACGCTTCAGTGATTTGCATAGAATTACAGATATTCAGGTGTTTTCCATAACATTACACTAAGAGGCTTCAGCACACACACACATGGGTAAAACCACCAACATGTTTCCCACCAGATAACACAATGCAGCTCTTGTTGTTATTTTCAGACTAGGTTTGTAATTGTTAGCAGCCCAGAGTCAAACTGTTTCTCTTCATGTGAACTTTATTCCTTATTAAATCCAAAATAACCTGGAAAACCTGGAACACCTCTCGTACACAGCGTTTTACTGGAGTGACTAAGCTGTAATTTAACAAAAGTGCCTGTTTTATGTTTAAAGAGTTATGTAGAGTCAATATACAAGCGTGCACACCTTCACAGAGTACCCAATATGTTAACAAGTTAGATGAAGAGGTTGACCACACGCTTGATTACAGATTCCAGGTTGCAGCAAGCTTTGGAACCAGCTTTTAAACTAAACACGGTACATTTCTCTATGTATTTCTGTATTTCTTCCCACGGTATTGGGTTTTACACTGGAACAGTGATACAACACTGCTACCATGAGATCCAACTGGACATAACACCACCCCCACCCCCCTTATGGTGGTACCATAGACAGTATAACAGATGAACGTAGCTTCTGTGGGCAGATAAATGAAGCCAATGCTGAGGTGCCTTAAACTTGCATGCTTTATTTGTATGGCATTAGATTGCAATAGATGTGGTTGCAAAAACACTTCCAGTCCTAAAGAAGTGTACAGGTATGGGATTTCATTTTTGACTGCTGTAAGCACTCTACTGTTCAGTTTATGGGCATGGTCATTTATGCCCATAAACTCAACCTTGAAGCTAGCTTCCAAGTACCCAACCTTATTATAACAACAGGAACCTGGGAGACCTTGAAGCTCACTTCAACTGCACTCACTGAGTGCAGTTGACATTAACTGAGCTAATGATATTTAGCTCAGTTATTGAGGTCTTTGCGCCTAAATCTACAATTAGTCAATTTAGAATGTAATTTTTTAGAAAGCGAGAATTGCAATGAAGGAAAGGGAACAAATGTATTTTTCAAAATATCAAACTGTTTCTTTGAACATGAAAATGGGAAACGGAGAAACACAGAATCATTTTTTCCAAAAGGTTAACACAGATCTAAAACTTACCTTGAACTGCACTCAGACTACTAGCTTGCTAATGTTATCCAATGCCTGTTTTTTCTCAGCTGCTTGGGTCTCCCTAATATTACGTGATTTGGAATTTATTACCAGAGTCACTGTAAGCTCATCTAAATTTTAAAAAGGCATTATATTTCTCACTGTGAAGCAATTTATCTCTCTATCTTTTCTAAGTCTTTGCAGTTATATAATTAACCTTTCTTTGAAATTTTTTAGCTGAGGATAAACTGTGAAGGTTTTTAATGGTGCATTTACCTAGACTGGCAAACAGTTATATACAAGAAATGTATAAACTTTCCGGACTCCTGGTCCACCAAAGGCATTGTTCTTATTTGTCTTCTTTCCCTGTGTAAGATGTCCAAAAGAAATTCTCTATGTGAGTGTATGTGTGTGTTTACAGATCCTCAGACGGATGTTTGGGTTTGTGGGCAGAAACCAATGGGGGAACCATATCCTGCAGACTTCTAATGATGCGCAGCTCAGGAACCCATCAGTTTTGACAGCATGATCATTACAGAGTTTTTAGGCAGTTTCTCATAATTAAAACCATGTGTAGGCGGTAATAATGTCAGCTAAGCACATGTGATGGTGTGAGCGGTGACACCAGAAAGCATTCCTCTGGTTACTGGATAAAAATATTCTCTATACAGCACTCGATTAAATTATGCATAAACATATGTTCCCTTATGCCTTGAGGTCACTCAGGACAAATGTGTAAATTTCATCTATAGTGCTCTAACAATTTTATTATAAAGCCATCTGAATTTAAAACCAAAAAAAAACAACAGCAGCAGGCCAATCATGACAGCAGGGGAGACAATTCCTATAAAAGGTACAAACTACAAATTCTCTTTTCACTGCGTTCCCTTCATCTACTCGTAGGACTGGACTCAAAATCTGAGGTTCTAGATCTTGCTCTGAAATATAAACAAAATATACTAGAGCTCACAAAGTTTTTAACCTGCAACGGTATACAAAAACGGGATATTCTGAATTATAGTTCACTTGCAAATTACCCCTAAATCATTTTTAAAGGAACAATAAACAGAAAACTTTAAAAGAACTGAGGCCTCAAGTTATCTAGCAGTCTGTTTACATATGTTCAGATATGCACAGCATCGAATCTGACTGTTGCACACCACCTCACAGGTCTGGAGATTTGAGAACTGGGCTGATATGAACCATTTTCCAGGTCTTAGTGAACTGTGGCTGTCTGATAAGAAATCTGCAAAGTAGCTGTGCCTGAAATAAAACACAATAACTGCTGACTTACTTTAGATGTTACACTTTGGGCCTGAGTCACTCAGGCTAGAGACTAGATGAAGATTTCAGACATGGCTCGTAGTTCTTTTCACAATGCAGATTTTTTTTATAACTAAATTACTAAATTTTTACAAGACCATCCATGTTTTCTTCTTTCTGGGTTTGACATACTGTTGTACAAACTGTGTTGATAAATAGCTGCTAATAGCATTATTAGATGACTTATTACTTATTGAGGTACAAACTTGTAGAAGCCTCCTCTGAGGAATATGAAATGTATAAAGGATTGACGACACCAGTCTGCTCCATTGCAGCCTTGATGCATTACGCTGCTAACTAAAGATCATTTTTCCTACCAGCTCTGATCTTCTAGTTAGAGTGTGACTCTCTGACTTTATGCTATTGCCACCCTGAGCTTGGCCGACCTTTAAAAAGCCCTCAGCAGTCATGGTGGTCTTATCTCAGGGACTCTCCAGAGCTGCACAAGTTCAACAGATATTAAATCAAAAACAACATCCCTCCCTTTGTCGAGGCTGCTGTCCAGTCTGCCTGGTTGAAGTCCCCCTCCCCCCAGCACCGTCGTACTAAGCTTCTGAACCAGTTCAAAGCTCATCAATCAATCCAGGAGATGGTCATAAAGGTGACTGGATGGGGAAATGTAACAATTCAGAAAACTGGAGCAACAAATCCAAACCGGCTGAATAAAGCGATTGGAGTTGCTGTTGTTTATCATTCTGATCAACTATCTGCTGGCATGACTCCATGTCTCTACTCTGTTCATCAGAATATCCACATGCTGGACAACTGACAATGAAGACAGAAATTGATTTTTTTTGTAACATCTTGACTATATTGACTACAAAACAGAAAAAAAAGATCAACAGACCCATTAATAACTAAAACAGCTATAAGCTCAGGCCCTAACTTAAAAAAAAAAATACTGTAGTCAGATTGTATTTGGGTACTGATACTGGCCTTACATGCAGATCCAGAGTTGTTCTGGTGTTTATAAATGGCTGCCCACCATGTAAAAGCCAGTCTCTCTCCAGCCTATCAGTTAGTCAGACTGGGCGTTGTCTCACTAGATGAGCACCAGAGCTTTGTGTCTGTTGCTCATCTCTGTGTCACTGACTTATTTCAGACCTTTTGGGCTGGAGGTCGCTCCTCGGTCACACTGAGGGTTAAGTATATTTTTAGGCCCAAGGATGGGTGTGGCTGTGCACGCAGAGGACTCTGTGGTCTCAGATGCACCTCCCAGTCTTGCATATGGAAGAGATTATTCCATTTCTGAGTTTCACTCTAAATGAGACTTGACTTTCCGATCCTCGAGTCACAGCACGGAGTGCACAATAGGCTTCTGTAAGGTGCAGAGGTAAGGTGGGATCAAAAGAAAAGTGAAATTAAAAGGCTTAAATGCTGCCTAAAGGGAACATAAATCACCTTAATTACACACCTAAAGTCAACACAAAGATTTCCAACCAAAATTCACCAGTCTTTAGGACACAGAGAGCTGAAAGCCTTCACTTTCTGAAAGTCATCAAGAAAGACAGGACACTGCAATTTGCCTTATACTGGGGGAAAAAAAGGCACTCACCTTCTGGCAGGACACAGAGAAGGTTTCGGCGCACGTTTAGCTCGCGTAGAGCTTTGAGTCTGCCGATGTGACGAGGAAGAGCTGTGATCTCGTTGCAGCTGATGTCCTGCAGAAGACAAAAACAGAAACGAGGGGAGTGAGCGGTTAATATTTATGATTAGTAATTGTTTGAAATGCTCTCGCCAGCACGGGAGCACACATCACAGCTGAGCAGATGGTGCAAAGTCGAGCTGGGTTTTCATGCTGAGAGGACGCTGCTGGAAAGTTAATAAGCAATAAGACTTTAAAACCATATCACACACATATACAGAGTCCAGGTATAAAGAAGAGGTGAGAGCAGTGATGTAGTTGCCTGAGCACAAAGAATTAAACTCATACTGACAAGAAGTGAAATAACAGTAAGCAATGGGAAGCTTCCAGGTTCTGAGTTATCTCAGATTTGTTTGAGCAGACAGTAGCTGCTTTTAGCTGAAGTGAAGGACACTTCTGACTGACATATGAAGGAGTGCGATGAGCTAATCACATTATATGTGGGCGGGGCTTTAGTTTAGAGTCAGGCTTGGCTCACGACACTTTAGCTTATTTCATTTTCACCCTAAAAAGACTGAAAGTGATGATGTGCCCCGATTGTCCTGCTGCTGACCAGAACTAGACCGTTTTCAGATAACGGGCCAGGATGAGGACTCTGTCATTCTCATTAGCCTCTGCTCCCTGCACAGGAGTGCTAACAAGCAATGTGATTGTTTTGCCCGCCAGCAATATTCCATGTAAAGAGCTAAAACAGCATCATTGTGGCATACTGCCTCTCCTCTGAAACAAAACGGACAGTGTAATGGGTTATGAAAATATCTTCCTCATCACAAAGCTAACATCATAGGCAGCAATCTGCCAGTGCTGCCATCTGCTGATTCCTTGTTTGCACAGCTCTGTCAGTCCTTGTAAAAATTCACTCTGTTCACAAGTTTGACCCAATCAGATCAGGTCGGTCAGCATCACGCACATTGTGAATGAGCTAATCACAGCACACCACCACCACTGGATAAAGTGAAATATCCCGCAGATCACTATCAGTTGTATATATTATACAGCACTTTATTGTGAGACTTGTTTGATTTAGAATAAGAGATGCTGTTGTGGAGGAAAAAGTAAAAAATAAATGTCTTATTATGAGTTTAAGAAGAAAATTCGATTTCATTTCTTCTGCTTATCCAAGGCAGGGTCCTGGGAGCAGCACTCTAAGCAGAGAAGACAAAACCTCCCTCTCTCCAGCTTATCAGGGAGAACAACAGAGAGATATAATCTCTCCATCATGTCCTGGTTCTACCCCAGGGCCTCAACCTAGGAGGCATCCTAGTCAGATCCATGAACCATGTCAGCTGGCTTGTTTTGATGTGTGGAGTAGCGACTCTACTCTGAGCCCCTCGCGAATAAATGAACTCCTCAGCCTTTCTCTAACAGACAGCCCAGCAACCCTTCAGATTTTGCTGCCTGTATCCGTGATCTCGTTCTTTCATTCACTACTCCGAGCTTGTGACTGTAGGTGAAGGTAGGGACGTAGATCAACTGGTAAATCAACAGCTTCAGTTCTCCTCACCACAACAGAACAGTACAGCATCTGCAGCCAATGTCCCAATCCATCTGCCGATCTCCTGCTCTGCTCTCCCCTCAGTCGTGAACAAGACCCCGAGATACTTAAACTCCTCTGTGACCCTGAGTGGGCACTACTCAGGGTCACAGAATTGACGATCTGATCTGATTTGTATCTTTTTTTCTGAAAAATCAGAATGAGCCAAGGAAATATAAAAAGAGAGTGACGACATATGTCCCTAAATTTCATGTGACACATAAAGCTTACTGAAGAAGGGCTAAAAAACACAAGCTATAAATACAGACAAAGAAACACAAAAATAGAAATATTATTACTCACTCCTGAGTGCCACAGGAATAAACCAACACAGTGACACAAGTGGTAAAACAGCCTTACCAGCTCCATGAGGCTCTGCAGTTGTCCAATGGTCTCGGGCAGGCTGACCAGCTTGTTGTTGCTGGCGTTGAGGACTCTCAGAGGTAAACCACACAGGCAGGCCGGCAGGGAGCCCAGCTGGTTACGACTGCAAACACAAACATCATTCAGTCGAGGGGATCACTCGTGCTCATGTGGTTGTTTTTTTTATAATAAAAAAAGAATAAAAACAGTAAAAGCCATTCCTTTTACATTGGACTACAGGTGAACTATAAGCTGAAAAGCTGATCATGATGCAATTATAACTTTGTTTCTAAACATTTATGTTCCACACGGCCCAGTGGGATGTGACTGAAAGGGAGAAGAGCTAAGTCCTACATGAATATTTTACCACCAAATCACTCAACGCGTTATTAAGATTGCAGTTGGAGAGTTAATGATGAATGCAGGGAAGAATTCCTCACTCCCGAGTCTGTTTATGTTGCCGTTTGCACCTCACAGCAACCCTCAGGAAGAAATAAACACGTCACAGCAATGTTTCCTTTTTACTACACACACACACACACACACAAATATGAAAACAAAGATGTCTTTTTACTATTTTTACTAGAGGAGACACACTGCAGGAAACGCTGTACAGAGGAAGTTACGCTATGGATGGGCAACAGTCTATTGTCTTAGGGTCTTTTTTTTTTTTACCTTCATCTCTCTTTTCTAAACAGGACCACTTTTGAATTAACTTTACTCAACTTTTACCAGACCAAAGCTAGCAGAGGTATTGTACTCATGCTCTACACTGTGGGTGCCTGACTGACCTGAAGGGAGAAGTGGAGAGTTGTCACATCTAGTGCAAATAACAGATTACACGTGTCTAATAAAATCGGTAGTGTCCAAGCTGGAAGGCAAGCTACAGGGAAGGCAATTCAATATATGAAATTTCCAGGAAATCCCAAAAAATACAACAGATGTCACTCCTCCTTTTGAAGCCGTCCTTCATTAGTCACACACACACACACACACACACACACACACACGCACTTTCACCACAAGACTGTGAAAACCCGTCTGACTTGGGGTTCTGAAAATAGCAATCAGGAAACATACAGTATAAATGAGTTTATGCAGCTGTCCTCACACATACTCCGACACTGAAGAAAAAAAAGTTACACTTTAATACTATGATGTTGCAAAAGCTCCAGAGGTGGAACAGCCTGACATCCTCTCTGCAGACTGGGTGTGGTACAAGTAGCTACAGTATATTTTAATGGAACAGGTTAATTACACAAATAACTATTAATTCAAATATGCATAGTATGTAATAGTATAACAGAGCACATCTCAGTAATGAAACAGATTCCAAATAATAATAATGTAACACAATGAACAAAGCTATATTATATTGTTTATTTAGAATGTTTAAATTAATTAAATGACGAATTACATGCAATGTGGCAGATGCACATCGTCAGCTATATTTTCCCTTTAATTTCATATAAACTCAAGACCGGATAAAACCAGATATTTTTCCCCGTAACTAGGACAACAGAAGAAAAGCACCACTAGCAGGACTGTTCTCCTTTTACATGTTGTAAACATTGTGAGGAAAGAGGGCACACAAAATATTTGCAGCTGTGTGGTCCATATTTGGGATTTGTTTTCAACACCCTAGCAAAGTCAGTCTTTTTGAATGCATATTTGTGGTCTGGACTAACAGCACTCAAAATAATCACAATGTAGTTTAATGTTATGTTTTACAAAAATTGACATTTTCAAATTTTAGGGAGGAAAAAATACATAATCACAAACAAGTCTTACTTTTTGAAACATACTAACAAGCTCCTTGTGTTGTAAAAAATAAAAGCACTTATGAGTAAACAAAAGTTAACACTCACAGAGGTCTGTGTTTCAGATGTGCCAGCGAGCTGCTGGACTTTAAAGACTAAAAATATCCTGCAGAGGAAGCAGAGTGTCTATCCTATTCGTCTGTGTGTGTGTATTAAAGCCTAAATGTGATATTACACTTCCTTTCTGCAACCAAGACTTGCTCCAGTGTTTAAAAATATTCAACACAGACATACTTCTGGTACTTCAGTCTTTGCAAGCATGGGCTCATGCAGTCTGGTTGTTTACTGAGCAGATCGACATTCAAATCATATTCAGTTCATTTTTTATTACGTTAAGTTACTAATGTACTCAGTGACAGCACAATGACTGGCAAAGCAGCACAATGTTCCACACTGCTACTAATGGGCCTTTCCAAGAATGTTTACTTTAAAGTCGTAGTTTTACAAAGGCTGCACTGGAGCAACGGCAAAAAAAAAGAAAGAAAAGAAAACAAAGTAAGAATAAAAGTTACATTTAAAAAAAAATTAAACTGTATTCACAGTCTCTTTGTAATGTTGTGCATTGTACTGGGAGACATACACCCCAAAAAACAACAAGATGATGATGGGAGAGGGTGGGGGAGTGTGACAGCGTGGGAAAAGTGTGGTTTAAGAAAATTGCTTTCTTCCAATTCTTTCAGGATGATGTCAAGTTGCAGGAACAAAGCACAAAGCTTTCAAACTTACACAACACACCTGCAAACAGCTTGTTTTCTGCACCTGAGGTAAGGTGTGAGTCGGGGTTGAAGTGGTTGAAATGTTAAGACTGCATTGCAGGAGGCAGAGAGCTGGTGTTGTAAGCCACCACCTCTGTTCCCTTCTTGCCTCGGGTGACCTCAGTAGGTCACATGATAGGCTGGGGAAAGGTAAAATGTCTATGACAAAATATCTCTGAAAATCTGTGAGACACTGTTTGACTTATCTCTGTTGCGCGACCTCCTGTCAGAGGAGTGGTACAGTGGAGCAGGGCTGTTACGTTACCACAAAGAAATGTCCCCATGCTACACTGTGATGAAGACAAAACTTTGGTTTATTTAATGTTACATTGTTATAGAAGAACAGAGATAAGACAAAAAATGGCTACTGTGGGTTTTGACATTGATAACAATATAAAACCTGTAAGGTATGGTCTACTCTGGAAAAAAAGAGCTAAAGTAGTTATTGAACAAAGAATGATTCATAGTGAGGTTGGTTTTAAAAACATTGTCGCTGATCTGAGGAGGATGAAAACAACTGGATAACCTTCCCTGGAATCTTTTATGTATATCAGGGCTCACAAAATCGCTAGCGATTTTTCCAGTCAGGCTACTAAAATCTATCTCAGCCCTGCCCGTCGGGCTATCATAGGAAGGAAAAATATGTCAGTGCTTTTGCATTCTTTCGCAAACGTAGCTGGGTAATTATGTCATTGGCATCGATGAGCCTCTTTCAATATGTCACGTATTGAAATCGCGTTTGAATTTGTGCTTGTTTTTCGCTTTCACTTTCATTTTGCGATCGCACAAACTGTGTATAAAGAGCGGCAGTATTGATTGGTGAGTGACGATTAATGGAGGTGAAATGGAGGGCAATGCACAGGAAGAGAAAGCTGATGAAGGAGATGTTATGCCCTCAATGTTGAGTGGCATTTTCTCATCTGTGACTTCAGTGGAAATTTCAGATTCAGGATCTGACACAGACTGATTCATGTTCTACACAGTTCTTACAAGTTCACAGAAATTTCTGTTCAATTAGAACCAAGTATTTGAGTTGATGATTGTAATTTTTATACAGTTGTTGTAATTTGTGTTTTAACAATTTTTTTGATTGATGTTTTGTTTCATTTACAATATTATACAATAAAAAAATATTTTATTTTTTATTTGGGCTACTTAAATTTATTTTAGGCTACCAAAATCTGAAGAATGCCTGCCCAAAGGGCTACCAGGAATTTTGAAATTTTGCGGGCCCTGTATATGATTGTGAATGGACTTTGAGGGATGTTTTGTATGTGTTTTGATGTAAACTCCCATGTATTTTGTCAATAAAAGGCATTTTAAAAAAAAGGGAAAAAAAGGTCTCACAGCCGTTTGAACCTTATGCCATGCTCCAGATACCTCGGAACTTGGGAGTGTCGTTAAGGCTGGGTTTTGATTTTGATTTCTATACTCGATTCGATTCCGATCCACAAGGTCCCGATTTTATTAGATTTTGACTCGGACAGTCAGAAATATTATAATTCTGATCATTTATGAGTACATATCCATATTTTTATATCTATGTATAAAAACAAAGCTGACACTTGTGAGACTTCATCAGAGGTGCAAGCATCACAGCAGATGCCTTTGTGTTAAAATAACTGAGGATAAAACACAGAAAAACATGAAGATTTTTCTTCCCTGGCTTTTTATAGCAGATAACCTAAAAATATTTTGCAGTAGATCAAAAACTGAAGAAAACCATGACTCAACATATGAACATTACCTGTTGCTGCTGATGTGAAGCAGAGCAAAGTTACAGAGGTTTAATTAGAGGCACAGCTAAGTGTTTTGAATGATTTTAAAAAGTTTATATTTCTTTGGTATTGAACAGCAGAAATGGGGCTTTCTTGTTAGAGGTCATTTTAAAAAAACAAACAAAAGAAAAACAACAACTGACAGCACCTTCGCCCATGTGATGACTCATATGACTGAGGGTAGGGCTGTGCGATATGACGAAAATCTCATATCCCGATATAAGACATTTATCGTCCTGACAACGATATAAATCACAAAAATGTAATATTTTCTGTAAATTCTGTTAATCTCAGGCAACTCAACTTGCGTGAAGTTTTTACAGCTGGGCGTCCTTTACCTGCATTCGAGTGTTTTAACCGATGCATGACACTATACGTTTTTAGTAGGGGTGCAACGATACACAAAATTCACGGTTCGGTTTGGTTTGATACTTTGGTGTCACGGTTCGATATTTTTTCGATACAAAAAAATGTT